TCAGAACATTATTTTTTTTAAAACGGAGTAAATATATTGTAAATTGATCTTTATGAGTTTTTTTTTTCCTTACATTTACTCATTTAGTTTATCAACCAATAGATTGTGTTGGCTTTATCAATTTATGGATTCAAATTGCTAGATTAATGTGTTCTGTTTTGTTTTCCTCCTAAATGTTGAACCGACGAGCAGCCACAATTCTTAAAATGTACCACCAAAATTAACCGGAAGTAACCATAGTTACGACATCGTTTCACGCCAAAAAATAAAACGAATCCGCTGAGTTAACTCGTTCGTGTTACCCCAACCATTTCACTTTTTTTTTCATATAAACAAGTTTTCTTTACTTCTCTTCTAAATCAAAAACACATATTAAAAACGTGTTGGTATGTTCTCTTTCTTCTCTATTCACAATAACTCCAATCATCTCTGTTTCTTAGATTCAGGTCTCAAAGAATCCTCGGTTTCTTCGGTACTCCGGTCTAACCCAAAACACTTAAGAAATGCAGAACCAGCAAGCTGAAACAAATTACACGGATGATGCAAGTTACGACTCGAATCTTTCTCCAATGAACATTCTTCTTGTTCCTCTGATCTCGTGACTCTCCTTGTTTCAGCTGGTGTTATCTCTCCTTTTATGCCTTGAGAACTTCCTATCTGTAATAACAAAAACCGACAAGTTCATTAAACAAACGATGAATCTAAGAAAAAGGGTACCATATTATCAAACTGGAATCCAAGAAACTTCGAAGAGGACTATTTGGATAAAACCATACATAACAGAGAAGGTCCTAACTCCTCTCCAAGATCCATAAAACAAAATGTCTGAAAAGGAACTTAAATTTACAGCTTCTTGTTTGCTAGTAGAGTCTATAAGAACCAAAGCCAAAACGTTCCTATCCTATTGAAAGCGGTATAGCATGTGTAAAGAAGCCAAAGAGAGGAAGATAACTGTTACTTAAAAGACAAAACTAGAAGATTATTGTCACTTAAAGATAAAATTAGACACCTTCAAACCTAAGCAAGCAAAAAGCTTTAACGTGAAAGGAACAAAGAAAAACCATCATTGGTTCGTAACATACCAACAAAATAAGAAAGGGACAATTCAAGAATCAAAAACTTCCAAACATGGATTGAGATATCATAACATATAATAAAACCTGAAAATCGACCTCAATGTCAAGATCTTAGCCAATGACTCTCAGGGACTGAACATCACACTAGTCAACACACAAAAAAATGTGATTGCTTTATATAATTTTGAGCAGAAATAACTCATTAGCCGTAGCAGCAGCTATATGTGATCCAGAAACCATAATTAGGAAGATCCCATTCCCTAATTTTAGATTTGCTAATTTCAGAATCCAGTAAATTGCAAAGTCAATCATCTAAGCTACACTCGAGCTAAGTTTAGCTGCCAATTACCCCCTTATTCTTAATTGCAATCTAAACCCTTAAGATTCATAAACACCTGTAAACTCCCCATTAATTTGTATTCCCTTTCCAGAAACCCCAATTGAATCAACAAAACAAAAGAACATCAAAATTCTGACTGAATCGGCCATGGAATTGAAATCTGAGTCCGATAAATGTGGAAAATAGTAAAGTCAACGGAAAGCAGCAGGTACGACTGATTCCATGATTTCGTCGATGATGATTGATAAGAGAGGGACAGATAGTTGAGAGTTACCTGATTAGACTGTACGAGACTCGAATTGACGGAAAATCCCAATCCGTGGTGGTGGCTAATCGAAATCGGATCTCCAGAAAAAAATCGCCGAGAAAGAGATGAGCCGGAGGTAGAAGGAACGGAATCAGAAGACGAGAAAAGATTATCTCCGATATCTGAAG